AAAAGTGATCAGCAGACAGTGATGCTGGTTCTGATATAGTCCAGTGACAATCACATGTTGAACAAACTCAAATAAAGCAAATGACAAAAAACTCCTAAACTAATCCTTTATAACTGAAGTATTATGAACAATAAACAGAACACAAACCCACAAAGCTTCCAAAGGGCGAGGAGGACTGCAGATTGGTCTGGATTCACTGCTCTCCAACTTAGCAATGTTTGGAGATGATGAAGAGGCATTTGACAGAAGATGAAGATCTCCATCATATTTCAAGTCATTTAACACTGAATTCTGCTTTATTATTGTGCTGCGCTTTTGTCAATTGATCATTGAATGAATCCTTCAGTCTTTATATCTGTCTGTTTCTGTGTTTCCATTCTGTTTTCTGTTTCCACATCTGATCTAAAAGCTCTGTGTGTCATTCAGAAGCTGATTTGACAGCTCCACACACACTCATGTTGTTTTACTGCAGTTATTAATGCACTGAGATCAGCCAATCACAATCCAGCATTCAGCACACACTCCACATGTCTTATTGTGTGTGTGTGTGTGTGTTTGTGTGTTATAAACTGATGTTTGTGTACTGACTGAATGTGAATCTGTGTGTGTTTACAGTTTGGATCATGGAGGAGAGACGAGGATTACAGCAGGACCACACAAATGTAGGACTACACACACACACACACACACACACACACACACTCTCTCTCAAACACACACGCACACTCCCTTCTGTCTCTCTCTCTTTCTCACACGCACACGCTGGCACACAATCAGACATACACACTCACTCTCACACACAAACACACACTTCCTCGCTCTCACACACACACACACACACACACTTCCTCTCTCTCTCACACTCACACACACACACACCTCTCACACAAACACACACTCACACACACACAGCAGTGACCACATGCACTCACACACTCCCTCTCTCTCTCTCTCTCTCTCTCACACACACAACACACATGCCCGCACACATACTCAAACACACTCCCTCTGTCACACGCACACACACACACACAGCTGTGGTTGTAAATGTGTGTGTTCTTGTGTTCAGATGTCTGTTTCCTCACTCTGGATCCAAACACAGCACACACTCGACTCATTCTGTCTGAGGAGAACAGAGAGGTGAAGCGTGTGAGAGAGAATCAGCCGTATCCTGATCATCCAGACAGATTTGATGGTTATGTTTATCCTCAGGTGTTGTGCAGAGAGAGTGTGTGTGGACGCTGTTACTGGGAGATTGACTGGAGTGGAGATGATGGTGTGTTTATATCAGTGTCATATAAGAGCATCAGGAGGAAGGGAGGAGGTGTTGAGTGTTGGTTTGGATGTAATGCTCAGTCCTGGAGTTTGCTCTGTGATTCCTCCAGTTTCTCATTCAGACACAATAACACACTCACTGATCTCCCAGTGGAGGCGCTCAGCAGGAGAATAGGAGTGTTTGTGGATCACAGTGCAGGAACTCTGATCTTCTACAACATCTATAGAGACACAATGAGCCTCATCCACTCAGTCCAGACCACATTCACTGAGCCACTCTGTGCTGGGTTTGGGTTTAGTTCTGGATCATCAGTGAAACTGAGCTGAAGACTGACGAGAGATTTACCCAGAATCCTCTGCAGGAGCAGTCAGCAGCTGTGTGTGTGTGTGTGTGAGAGAGAGAGAACGTGTGTGTGTGTGTTTGTGTGAGAGAGAGAGAGTGTGTGTGCGTGTGTGTGTGCATGCATGTGTTCACTCCTCTGTGTACATGTGTGCATGTGTAGTGTGAGAGTGTCTATGTTTGTGTGTGTGAGAGTCTGTATTTGTGTGTGTGTGTGTCCATGTGCATGTGTGTGTGAGAGAGAAAGTCTGTGTGTGTGCGCGTGTGTTTGTGTGTGTGAGAGAGTCTGTATTTGTGTGTGTCCATGTGCATGTGTGTGTGAGAAAGTCTGTTTGTGTGTGTGTACGTGTGTGTGTGCGTGTGTTTGTGTGCGCGTGTATGTGTGTGCGCGCGTGTGTGTGCATGTGCGTGTGTGTGTGCGCGCGCGTGTGTGCGTGTGTGTGTGTTCACTGTTATGTTCGTGCGTGTGTGTGTGTGTGCGTGTGTGTGTGTGTGTGTGAGTGCGTGTGTGTGTGTGTGTATGTGTGTGCGTGTGTGTGTGCGTGTGTGTGTGTGTGATGCATGTTTGTCTCTGTGTGTGTGTGTGTGTGTGTGTGTGTGTGTGTGTGTGTGAGAGAGAGAATGAGTGTGTTTGTGTGAGAGTAAAAAAGAGATTTTTGTGTGCGTGTATGTGTGCATGTCTTCACTGCTCTGTGTCTCTATATTACACGTGTTTGTGTGTTTGTGTGAGATTGTCTGTGTTTGTAAGTGTGTGTATGTGTGTGTGAGAGAGAGTGTATTCGTACATGCATGCTTGTGTTTTTGTTTGAGAGTGTCTGTGTGTGTGTGTGTGTGTGTGTGAGAGAGTGTGTTTGAGTGTTTTGTGTGAGTACATGTGTATTGTAATGAATGGTGCCATTATTAACGTGAGACGACGAAAATACAAACTCAAACCTCTCCTGTACTCTGACAATGCTTCAGAGCTTCACTTTATCTAAATCAGTCAAGTGTAAGAGAAGAGCACGACGTGACCAGAAGAGGGCGCGCAAGACCAATGAACGGAGAGGGAGAGAGATGTTACCTATCTCTGACCCTCATCTGCTCTTACCTTCCCCTGACCTCCTGTCCTCTGAGTGCATACGGCTAGCGCAGCTGACCCTGAAGGCCTGAGACTCTCTGGTCATGGAAGCCGGGAAGTCTCATAGTCTCCGTAGGCACGGATACCTCGGGTCGGGGATACCTCGATATCGCTTTAATGGCTTAAAACTGTCTAAACAATGCTACATGAAAGTGTTTGTATGTTGATTCGTGGTCTTAGATGTACCTATGGGAAAACTATAAATGTGTTCAATAAGACATGACCTATAGCTTTTGCTGACTATTAGAATTGAGTGGTCAGACCACATCCTACAGTTGGTCCTAGTAATTTATAATTAGTGTTTTGATTTAGCAGGTAAAACCCAAATAGTGTTTGGGTACTTGTATTGAATATGTCAAGTCCTCACTGATATATGAGGTGTGGTTATGTGCATGACCTGATTCTGAGTGTATTAAAGCTGAGCCGCTCTGACCAGCTTTGCGCTTTCTGACTTCTCTATACTGAGGTTGGTTTTATCCTAAAATAAGGATTTTGTTTCTGTTATTGGTCTTTTGTTTATTCTACTTTTCAATTTATTTTATTTTATTAATAAAAGTGTATTTTATTACTTTTCTTTACTGGAGTGGACATTGATTTCATTTGCCAGAACCCATTAAGTTACCCTGTGTGGTGAAATATGAATCTATTCTTTAGCAAAATACATTATAAAGACGATCCTTTACCTAAACTCTAGCTAAGAAATATAGCGAAGGGAGGATCTGGTTTATCTTTATTTAATCACAATAATTAAACAAAGGCGAATCAGCACAGCACCTACTTTCCATAAAGGGCCACAACAGCATGTATGTGCTCCGACATGATGTTTAGTAGTACATTCATTTATTGAGTTGTTTTGGATGTAGTTAATCGAGACAACACACAGTTAATCACTCTTGTTCCACCAGATGGCAGCGTCTCCATTGTTTTTGTAAAGGGCTTTCAGTGGTAACGTGACTAAAAGCACTCTCTGGTCTTTGCATTTCTTGAACACAATCGATCCGCACATTTGAATTGATGCAAGTTTCTGAACTGCTCTAGCACAGACTTGTGTTTTGTCTTGTTAAAAACAGCTGAATATTGCCTATAGTTTTACGAAAGTGTTTTAGCATGACAATGTAGAAATATACGTGGAATATACCCAGCTAACATAAGACCAGCGGGCCACTGGCACTTTTCCGACGGTGGTCCGCCATCGCACCGCTGGTTTGTTGGCGGCCCACGGTCGGTCCACAGGTCATTTTTAAATATTATAGCCTATTAGCCTTTACAGTTGTATTCAATATAAATATGTCCAATAATAAAATCAAGTACAAAATACTTAATCATTATAACATTTATTTATAATACAGCATAACGAACATACATTAAACACTTAGATTATAATGAAATGTTTCAAAAACACATATGTTAACAAATATAACAAAATAAATATAAAATACATACAAATATAATATAACAACATACATACTGTAAGAACGGTCTTTAAACCACAGCGGTTCGAATTGTAGTTCTGCCGAGCGACTAAAAAGTGATCAGCATGATGGTAAAAAACTACATTTCTAGTCAAACCATTCTTCTGCAATCTCATACCAAAAACGGAAATAAGGGCAGTATTAATAGCTATAAATGTGAGAGAGCGTTTATCTTATGTGATTGTATTGCATTGCTATATGGAACAATTAAGTGTTGATGTTAAATCAAAAGTAATTCACAAATACTTGAAAATGAAATGATTTAATGACAATAATTCTCTATGGTTACAACTGAATTAATAACAAAATACTGTATAAAATGATCAAATATGAAATGATAAAACGTATGGTATAAATTGTACCCAGCTTAAATGTAAAATTAAAGTTACCAGAGGTAGAAGGAGAGACACAGGGGGAGAGAGAGAGAGAGACAAAGAGAACAGGCCCAGAAGCCTGATTGCTGTAGAGTCAGAAAAGATAGACTCCAGAGGAGGAGAGGAGCAGAGCAGGAGAGAAGCAGGCCAGGAAAAGAGAGGGCAGGAAAAAGAGACAGAGCTCGAGTTTACCACCTATCTTGTATCTTTCTTGACCATGTGACTAAAGCCAATCAAGACATTCAAACTGACCAATCAACATGTGACCACACCATAAAACCCCCAAAGTCCACACAACAGGCCCTGATCTTATCAGTATCTGCCTTTGTAGTCAGTATGGACGTTCTTGAGTCAAAAAGCATGTTTTGTCATATAAACAAATGCATATGATAATTTAGCCTCTTACAATACAAGTTACATTTTACAGTAGTTTTATAAGTAATGTTAAGGGTTTAAATATGAACTAATATGAACAATACCTGTACAGCATAATTTATGTACAGCATTTACTAATGCATTAATTAAATCAGTCATGCTTGTTAACATTAGTTAATACATTGCGAGTTAACATGAATAAACAATTAACAACTTTTTACCATTCACCAACATTAGCAAAGATGAATACATACTGTAATAAATGTATTTTTTATTATGTTAGTAAATACATTAACTAATACATACAACCTTATTGTAAAGTGGTAGCCATTCAACAATGAGTTTTCTATAATAAAAACCCATTCAACACCCTACATTCCTCCAGGGGCGCTACAGGCATCTAAGTTAACACAAGCTCCAGCTCACACTGCCCAAATGGCCAATCAGCATCCACTAAACCCAATTTCAGTGCCACGACCCACTTTTAACCCTATGCATACAACAGTTACTCATAATGCTATGCCCCACACAGACAGTGATATTATACCACCAACAGCTCCTCATCAGAGAGTGGCAGCTGCATCCAACATGCCTATTTGCCCACAGCCCTTTGCAAATGCACCTGTTTCCCAAACTGGCTACTTGCCTCAACCCGGAACAGAGCTTTTGATGGCCGCAGCCTATGGCATCCCTCGCCCAACACTACCTGTGTTTGAAAGTGGTACAGAAAGTGACTTTGCCCTCCTGAAATTGGCCTTAGACAGCCTACTAAGTCCCCATACTCACATTAGCGAGCAATACAAATACCAAGTATTAATGAGTCATCTGAAATTTGCTAGTGCACAACAGCTAGCTAAAGCTTATATGCACCACCCACAACCTTACACCGCAGCCTTACAAGCTTTACAGGCGAAGTATGGCCAGCCCAGACAGCTAGTTCAATCCGAATTAGGGGCTATTATGAGTACATCACCACTTAAAATAGGTGACGCAAACTCATTTGACTTATTCGCCCTGTTTGTCCAATCCCTAGTCTGTATGCTGAGGACTCTAGAGGGCCAGAATGGATTTGAGCTCATGTGTGGTTCCCATGTTGACCGCCTTTTAGGAAAAATGCCCCCTGCCTACAGGGATAGCTTTGTGGAGTACTGCTTTAGTCATGGCATCCTTCAATCTGGTACAGACAGAACATATACACTTCCCGACCTAGCAGCCTGGTTACAGACAAAATCCTAAGCCAAGCGGATCTCCAGTAGAGCAGTTGCTATGTTCCAGTCAGATATTACAAAGTCATCTGGCAGGAGTAAAAGTTCTTCATATCATTGGGAACGTCCAACAACTTCGTTTCTGACTTCAGAAAATGCTGTTAAGCCACAAGCAGCAACACCAGCAAAAGGTCCCAAGCCAAAGCCGTACTGCCGTACTGTGACAACCCAGACCACTATCTGAACTCATGTGACAAATTCAAGAAGCTGACCATCGATCAAATCGTCAGTTGGATCACAAGAGACAAACGCTGTTGGAAGTGTGGGAGGAATCACGTAGTTAATACTTGTAACCTCAAGCGGCCATTTAAAATATGCAAAGAAATCCATCTTACCATACTGCATGACTCAATTAAAGACACTTCCAGAGCAGTTCTGATGGTGAGTTTGCCTTCGACACAAATCTATCTGGATAGACCTAACTGCTCACAGAAGGTGATGCTCAAGGTCGCACGAGTTCACATGCACAGTCAAACCCAAACCATTGAGGCTTATGCCGTGCTCGACGATGGCTCAGAAAGGACTATTGTCCTCCCTCAAGTAGTTCTACAGCTTGGGCTTAGTGGAGCTCCAGAAGTGCTTTCTCTGCAGACAATCAAGCGAAACCATACTAACTTTGATGGGTCCAAAGTCACCTTTGAGGTCTCTCCATTTGCCAAGACATCAGAGAGGTATGTCACACGCAATGCCTTTTTTGCCCCTGGTCTATGTCTTGCTGAGCATAACTACCCTGTTGCAGCACTCCAGAAATCATACCAAGCCGTTACTCTTCATCGGCTCTGACCTGCCACACCTCCTGACGCCAACACTGCCAGTACGGAGGGGACCAGATGGTGGCCCCGTTGCTATACGTACCAAGCTTGGTTGGGTACTTCAGGGACCAATGAGTCCAATTCAGCCCCCCAAAGGCCTGCAACAATGCCTACATATTATGACAGCCCCATCACGTGAAGAGCTGTCTCAGCATGTGGAGCGCTTGTGGCAAATTGACACATTGCCATACAATGAAAAGCTGATAACAAGATCACAGCAAGACAAACAATGTCATAACCTCTTACAGACTACTACTGTCAGAGTAGACATAAATGGGATACAGCGTTACGCTACTCCACTGCAAAGACGTACCCCCATCACTTTGCTCCATACAGGCATTGAAGCTGTATTGCCCAGACCAGAAACCTTGAAAGAAAATTAGCCAACAATCCTGAGCAGGCACAGGTTTACTGTTCTGAGATCCAAAAGCTTGAGTCAGCATGTTACATCACAAAGATAACACCACAAGAGGCAAACAACTCCACAGAGTCATGGTTTATTCCACAGCACCTGGTGCATCATAATGGAAAAGATCGTATCGTTTTTAACTGCTTCTTCCAGTATAATGGCCAAAGTCTAAATGAACAACTTCTTCCTGGGCCAATGCTAGGACCATCTCTGTTGGGGGTGATATTGAGGTTCCGACAGCATGCCGTTGCAGTGAGTGGGAATATCAAAGGCATGTTTCACCAAGTGCGTCTGTTACCTGGGGACCGGCCTGTGCTGCGATTCATCTGGAGGAACATGAATAGGGAGGCAGTTCCGGACATTTACGAATGGCAGGTTGTTCCATTTGGCACAACATGCAGCCCGTGCTGTGCCATTTATACCCTTCAGTGCCATTCCCAGAAAAACAGAGAAAGTAGGCCAGACCTAGCTGATATTGTGGAGACCTCATTTTACGTCGACAACTGCCTACACAGTACCCCCAATCAAGATGAAGCCAAAGCTATAATTGATGGCCTACGAGAGTCACTGTTAAAGGGAGGCTTTGAAATCTGACAGTGGGCGTGCAACGTACCTTCTGTCCTGAAGCATCTTCCATCAGAGGCTATATCGGCTAGTAGCGAGTGCTGGTTGTCCCAGAGTAGCTCTTACCTGCAGGAACTCACCCTTGGCTTGCAATGGAACTGTATTGATGACACCCTTGGTTATAAAAACCGCATAGCCGAACTCATCCAGCCAACAATGAGGAACCTGTACAAAACCCTGGCTAGTCAGTTTGACCCCCTGGGCTTTATTATACCCTTTACCACTAGGGCTAAAACCTTGATTCAGGATCTCTGGAAACAAAACCTAAGCTGGGATGACCCTATCGAACCCTTATACTTGCGTGATAAATGGTCCACATGGGTTGCAGAACTCTCCCATATCACTAAAGTACAATTCGCCAGACCATACGCTCCTGCAATGTCAGATACTCCCTCCACCATTAGAGTTACATGTATTCTGTGACGCCTCAGAAAGGGCATATGGCTCGGTGGCGTATCTTCAAATCCGGAATGAGGAGAAGGTCCATGTATCCTTTGTCCTAGCTCGCTCTAAAATGGCTCCTCGCAAATGTGTGCTGCACACTCTGGCGCTCAGATGTCAAAGGTCATACAAGCTGAGCTTACTATCCCCATACACCAAGTTACACATTGGACCGACTCAACTACTGTGCTGCATTGGCTAAAGTCAGAATCTTGCCGGTACAAAGTGTTTGTAGGGTCGAGAGTAGCTGAAATTCAGACACTGACAGATGTTTCCAGGTGGAGGTATGTTGACTCCAACAGAAACCCCGCCGACCACATTACCAGGGGGCTTACTTTAGAAGAAATAGCAGGCCCTCACCAGTGGAGATATGGACCATCATTCTTGACTCAACCACAGGAAGTATGGCCAGTGACACCCAGCACAAAGTCTGAGCCTGATTTGAATGAAGTCAAACGAGCATCGTTCATTGCAGCCATTAGTGTTACCCCAAGCCCAGTACCAGCAGACCTCAGTTAGTTCAGAACTTGGAAGGAACTTCTTCAAGCAACTGTCATGTCATGTGATGGGGCGGCTGACGCTGAAACTACAAACGATGCCTCAAAGTATATACAGGCGGGAAAGCTTCTCTTAGCGCATGCTCAGCTTGATTCGTTCCCAGAGGAATTTAGAGCCCTGAAAGCTGGACAGCCCATTCCGACAGATAGCCGTTTTCGACAAAGATGCTGAGTTGATAAGAGTGGGTGGACGTCTTCGTCGTGCTGAAACCCTGTCATTTGATACCATTCACCCGATCGTTCTAGACTCTCACCATCAAGTCACAAAGTTACTGATCCAAGACATATATCAACAACTCCATCACCCTGGTGCGAAACGAGTACTAGCAGAGCTAAGGCGTCGATATTGGGTGCTTAGAGGTCGTGAAGCTGTGCGCAAACACCAGCATTTCTGTCAGAAGCCTGCTGAAATACTCTGTGATAATGGGACTAATTTTGTAGGAGGGGACCACGAGTTAAGAGACTCATTTAAGCAAATGGCCTCAAAGCTTCAGACACTGCTAGCTCAACAGCAGATTCAGTTTCGATTTTACCCACCAAACGCACCTCACTTTGGTGGAACCTGGGAGCGAGAAGTAAAATCGGTTAAGGCTGCTTTGCAAGTCATTCTTCGGGAACAATGTGTACCAGAGTCTTTCCTACAAACCTTACTAGTGGAGGTGGAGGGCATACTAAATTCCAAACCCTTGGGCTACGTCTCATCTGACATTGCTGACCCAGATCCTGTAACCCCAAATATGATACTAATGGGACGTCATGATGCCTCCTTGTCCCAAGTCCTTTATGACTCTAATGAGATGCTGGGTAAACGCAGTTGGCGACACAGTCAAGTACTGGCTGACCAATTCTGGGCCGCATTTGTCCATCGCTACTTACCAGAACTACAGGGCAGGGAAAAATGGAGAACAGATGGCAAAGGGCTGGTAGTCGGCCAAGTTGTACTACTAATAGATAATCAACTACCGCGTGCGCTGTGGCCTGTGGGAACTGTTACGGAGACCTATGCAGGGGCGGACGGGAGGATTCGAACTGCCAAAGTCCAAGTCAAGGATAAGTCGTATCTGAGGCCTGTTGTAAAACTCATTCAAATTCTGGAAATGAAGGATAAAGACACAGAAACCAAAGATGGCCTTTCTTAAGGGTTACAATTATCTTTATCGATAATTGGGGGTGGCTATGTCAGAAAGCCCACTAGGAACCGAAAATATTCAGCGAGTTTCACATGGACTGTTATTAGCGGTGCAACTTCCCATACTCGGATGCCAGGCCAGATCCCAATGCGCTCCTTTTCTTCCGACATGTTGTGCGTTCATGCACCAAATGTGAGTAATAATGTGACAATCACTGAGTGAACATTTACACCTTTCATATAAGAGACTGTTTGTTATATATAACAACGATCGCGCCGATCACGCTAGCCGCGAGAGAATACAGTGTGCAATATATGCTCCGTCATTCCGCCTATTGCCTTTTACTGCCATTTAACTAATTAGTTTGTTATAACATATATATTTGTTCCTTTATTTTAACTGTTTAATCATTGTATATATGGTGTGATTTCTCATTGAAGTGAATGTGTAAAGATACATTATATTTATACTGTATTCCTCATCTGTTCTATAGACCACAACATACTTGAAGGAAAGTTTGATGGCACTGACTGCTTAATAATTGTTATTAAAGAAGTTTGAAGAGGATTACTTCTTTGTTGCCTGATTCTCTGACCGGAATCAATGTCCATATTTGTCCGCCTAAATTTACTCAGTTGACAGAGGCATAGTACCACGTCACAAAGACAAACTTTGAGACTTCTCATTATAAAAATAAACTATTAAAAACATTATAAATAAATTTGCATTATTTATATTTTAACATTATTAAAATTATTTATTATAATATTATAATAAATTATACCATTCTTATGACATTTAACGTTATTATAAATAACATAACAATAAATTACATTGTGAATAAATATTAACATACATATTACAATAAATGTAAACGTGCATTATTATTACAAAATCAAACTAAAACTTCTGGAGGTTATTAATAACTGCACTGGGGCAGCACAGTGGCTCAGACTGTCACCTCAAAGCAAAAAGGTTGCTGGTATGAGTCCCGGCTGGGTCCGCTGGCATTTCTGTGTGGAGTTTGTAGCCTGTTTTTTTATGAAAAAATATTAATTTTTATTTTATTTCTATTTATCACAAGAAAAGAACTCGAATAAATGGTTGTAATACTGAAAAAAAAAATTAGACACTGTGTGTATTTGATTAATTTGTTTCTACATGCAATTTCAGAGAAGTGCCTCGGTGACATGACAGATAGCTTTGGTTTGTGACAGAAATGTTGAAAGTTCTCCCAGTTCTTCTTCTTTCCCACCACACATTTATGCATGTGTAAATAATGCTCCACAGTTCCACAATCATTCCTCTGACTGTTAAATCACATGTGAATCTCTTATAACCTCATTCACTTACTGCTTCAAGAAATCCAAGAGGCGAGGGCTGGGACAAATGCAGTGTTTAGTTTACATCCACTAACATGGCCAGCAGGCCTCACTGATCTGGGCTACATCCCTGTGTAAATGTTTTCTGCATTGGGTTGAATTTATTTGAACCCTTTCAGAAACACATGGAGTCAGATGTGCTTCAGGCATTAGTGATGAGCCAGTCTAGATCAAACACAATGTGCTAGAAGACTGAGTACCTGTCTTACTTCTGTCCTCACAGATAAAACTGAACAGAACGCCACAAACTTGAAGCAGGACTTCCAGGACTGAGAGAAATAAACAACTATTAATTGAAGTGAAAGCACAAGCGGCCGGCACTTCTGTTGACATACAGTACATGAAGGGCTCTGTCTGTGAGAGCAATGGCCTTGACCCCCCAGTTCTGTGTTCTGCTCAGTTGGCTTCAGCTCTTCTGTGACTTTTCTTGACGTCTCAGCATCATTCTACACTTTTTTGTACAAGCAAGCTTCCCCTGAAAGAAGATTTTATTAGTTTTTATTTAAGGCCTTGGTGCTTTCTGTCCAGCTAATATGTGTCCAGATGCAGTTTAATGTGTATGTCGATTGAACTCCTTCAGCATGAAGCCCATCAAAATAAGCGGAGTCAGCAGTGTGCTCTTCCTTCTGAAACATTACTCCATGCTCTTTAAGTTTAATGTGTTTATAATGTATTTATTTTATGAAAATGTTATTTATGAAAGTTTATTTACGTTTTCTGTTAGATTAATACGATGAGCTTTAAACACTGACAGTTCTGAGCTTTATAATGGCAACAAACTGCAACCAACAGTTCTGGTTCAGGGTTTAGTGGCGGCTTTCTGAAGTGGAGCGAGGAAAATGTCCAGCACACATCAGCTGACACCCAATTTCAATTCAGTTTAGAAATTCAAGAAATGTGCAGTCGACTCAGAGATCTAATGAAACTGGAATATATTTTTATTATTCATTCATTCATTTTCTGTTCGGCTTAGTCCCTTTATTAATCTGGGGTCGCCACAGCGGAATGAACCGCCAACTTATCCAGCACATTTTTACGCACTCATAAACTATGGAAAATTTAGCCTACCCAATTCACCTGTACTGCACACTGTGTGGGTAACCAGAGCACCCAGAGGAAACCCATGCAAACGCAAGGAGAACACACAGAAACGCCAACTGACCCAGCTGAGGCTCGAATCAGCGAGCTTCTTGCTGTTAGGCGACAACACTACCTACTGTACCACTGCGTCACCTTATCAGAAATCTTATAAGCATAAATGTAAATATATTAAATGTAACCTCCTTTACTTTTATTTTGCCCTCCCAGCGCTCACCCTGGGGCAGATGTGTTCAGACTCAGCATCAGTTGAACATCTTTAATCAGCCGCAGGTCATCTAGAGGAGCTTTAACACATGAGCTGTTCACACTTCTGTATGGTCCATATCAGAAAGAGTGACGGTCGAGTTCTGCTGGAGACCTGCACATAGAGGAACACATGGACATCAGACTGCTGATCAATCTGCACAGGAGACGATGAAGAGGAGGAAGACAGATGATGGAGGAAAAGCTGAAACAAATCTATTATCAAGGGAAATATTAAGACAGAATGATGAGGAGTTTAGGATGAAGATAAGAGACGACATTTATATAACATTAAAATATTAGTGGAGACAAATAAACATGCATGTGAGAAACAGAGAGGAGGAAGTGATGTGAACTAGACTGAGGTGAGGACACACTCCACTAAACTCAACACTGACATTAATGGAGTTCAGGAACATGATTAATGTGGAGACTGTAGAGTTCTAGAGAACATGTCAGATTTGATGGAGGACATATGCGAGAGAGGAGGAAATTGATTAAATATGTAAATAATAACGGACATGAAGAGACGTTCAGAATATAGATTGTGACAGTACTGTCTCTTCTTCCAGTGAGACCTGGTCAAGATGGCAGGCAGCACAAACAGTTTCACATAAGAATGGGATCCTATTGATGTTGATTCAGCTATAATAATAAAATAATACACTTTATTTATATTGCGCTTTTCTCAAACTCAAAGCACTAACAAGAGCATCAAAACACAGAAGAACATCAAATACACACAAACGTAAGAATGATAATAATAAAAATATACATATGAAAAGAAGGCCTCATATAAATATTTATTTCTTTATTTATAGGCCCAGGGCAGGCTGCGCTGAGTATTTTAAATAAGTGGGTTTAAATTAAATACAATAGGATCGTTGGCTGTGCACTAGCAACATCTCAGGTAGACAACTCTTTTAAGAGCTGAACTAAAAGAAGTTTAAGGGCAATAAGCCTAGACAATACGGTCAGCTGCAATGCCTATTTCACATGCGTCTTCCAACACAACAAGACTTTCGAGACTTTCTAAAACCCTGGATTAATGAAGAAAGTTTCTAATTAACTAATTCAACACAAACGTATAATTCATAATAAATAATGTGTTGTAGTTCAGATTAACAGATGAGCTCGCTGTCTGTGCGTCGCAGTAATAGTGAACTTGACATTTGCTCTTTGTGACTAAATTATGTTATACTGCGGGTCCATATATATATATTTGTTAAAAATGTTTATTTAGCATTTTATATGCGTATAATATTGTATTTTAATAAATTAAAAAATAATTTCACCCCCCACCCCCATTTTTCATACCATATACATGTTTTTATGAATTTATTATGTATCATATTGATTCATCAGGCCTTTTGGTAACTTCTTAGCTCAAAACTATTTTAATTTTAGCTACAAACAAAGTTATAACATTTCAATTAAATAGAACTTTTGCTTGTTTCTGTTTTTTTTTTTTTTTTACACTAAACATTTGACAGTCTTTTTTATTTAACTTTTAGCAGTTTCAGTCAATTGTTCTTGCAAAGACAGACCTTACACTTTTCACAGTATGCATGTGAGAAGTAATTGCAATGTTCTTTTGCCCTTTAGGACTCCCATGTCTATCATTTTGTTTTGACAAATGTAGTACAAAAAGTCCAAAAGCAAGGCTAGTCAAGGTGATATAATCATTTAGTGAGGGAAAATTAAATTGAGAAGAAATTTGGGGTGGTATGAGATGCATTTCTTTGTGACTTAACATGCTTAATGTAATTATACCTTTTACTACTTCATACTATTTCAGTTGTGTTCAGAACTGCGAAACTGCATTTTTTGAAGCATATTGATAACTTTATGAAAAAATATCTTTAATTTATTGATGGAAATATTTTCCACATTTTATCACTTGCCTGTTATAAAATTTAGTTGGATTGAAGGGGGGCGCGTAAAAGTTGAAGTTGATACCCATCAGCAAATGTGCAGTTGGGCCCCTGCATATACATATTGCAAATAGACTACTATTCGGTGCTGCCAACTGTTTGCATTTTATTTGATGCATTTACTGTTGCATGAAATAATAAAAAAGGGAAGTGCGCTGGTAAAGAGCGTGATGTGCACAGAAATTCACCCATTCTGAAGTAAGTTCTCTTTAACCTCATAGGGTATATGCTGAGCTAGTGCTGTTCCCATGCTGATCCACTTCCGGTGACTTGTTATTATGAACTTTTACCATTTTATACGGTTCCTTATACAGCATCGATGTTGTGATGTCATTAAAATAAAAACGAGACAAAAAGCCGTTTACTCGCACGCTCCCGTCAGAATCGGCAGGCTAGCGCAGAAGCTCCATTGAATATACTGGGGTAAAATAAATGCTCATATTATAAAGATATGGTGGGGGAATGTAATTTAATGCAGTGCTTCTTGTACAATCTGAGACCCACCTTAAATCGGATATCACTCAGCTAGTGGAGATCGCTGATTTTTAAAGAAAACAGACCTTAAACGCACCGGATTTTGCATTGCCATTCAATTCGCCGGAAGCGCTTAACCCAGATAATGGCAAATTAAAAGTCCTATTAGCATGCTTCGGCATATACCCCATTCTTCTTAAATTGTAGAAAATCTTTAAAATGACAGGCCTTTAATCAAGCCTTTTCCATCTGGAGAATTACAGTTATTAATAGCTTAGTCCTTATTAATGATCAGTTAATAAAACACATCATTTACAGATCTACTGAAGAATAAGACGAATGCGCAATAACTATAATATTTTTACACTTTACAGCTTTACAGTGCGTGTGTCAAACATGTGTTCATTGATCTAAGCCTGCTAACTGATCAAATGACAGAATATGTAAACTTATTTTATAAATATATAATTAAATAATAATAATAGTTCAAATCCTGCGTGCTGGTCCACAGAGGGCTCTTATTTTGAAGGTTACGTCACAAACTCAGATTTGGTTGACCAATCAAAGGAAAGTTGGCGTTTCAGCACCGCCTACATGTGTATAATCGATTTTGAAGTCGTTTATCCGTTTTCCTACCCTAAATTAAAATAATTTAAATTTAGCCAAAATCTTGTTTTTTCAATTCTGGTGAGCAAATGAAAAACGGAAAAACGGCCGCTTTCTTCATTTTTCTTGTTTTGTTTCAGGACGGATATGAATTGGACGGAAGATACCCTGACTCACATGGTCTCCATTAGGTTTTGGGTTGTTTCTCTGGATGTCTTCAAGCAAGCGTTCCTGTTCTTGTTGGTCTTTTGACTAATCATCTGACCCTTTTGTTCAGATCTGTAATATGAGAAAAAAGCAATGATGTTACAAAAGTGTTGCATGAAATTTAACAGGAAGAAACAGCGTAACACCAATCTGCATCATTTACTGATTTATCTGGAGCAGAAAAGTAATGAATTGCCCCATAAGCCTTACTGTAGCTGCACAAATAGGTGATGGTGATCAGCAACAGGCTTAGTGATTCAGTAAATCTCCCTATAGACTGACAAAAGCAACACACGGTGCTCTGGCAGATACAGTAAAGGACAGAGAAATCCTGAGGTTTGTAGCTGCTCATTAAAAAGAAAGTAGAATAAAACAATAAGAATAAAATAACTGAGATAATCGCACCAAGAATGTGAAGCAAACATTGCCTTTTGAAGATATGGAGCCAGAAAAGAGAGGCCTGATTTTGGGGTCTAGTGTGCATTCTTGTATTACTGTTATTGATCAGCTCAAGTTATATAGTTTGGTTTTACTCTGATTTGCATGGATCAATCATTCTGTTTTCAACTTTAATAAATATAACTTATTCCTCTTTAAGTCAAAATATGAACTGAACTTGTCAATAGTGTTCATTTAACATGGAGCGAATGCTAGTTGCTTTACCCATTGAACATTCCAGTGATTATTTATAAAACATTTTACTTACCACAACTTGCCTACTGCTTGACATGGATAACCCGCTGATTTACTGTGTCATCGCTGCAGTACTAACCGTCCTACATCCTCTTGAGACACTCTGCTGCAGCCAAGGCATTTTATACTGTCTGCACAACGGCAATACAAAATGCAATTTAATAAAAGACTTATTAAAAAAAAAACTGTATATGTTCTTG